AAATGTTAGTTTTACAATTTTTTCGTTGTTCACATATTGTGTTGGTTCTGACATTGCACTCCCCTCCCTTGTGGTTGTAAGCCGCCCTGAGTCCCCTCAGGGAAAAGGGCGGCATATAAATCCCAATAAACCTAAACCTAAACCTAAACCTAAATGAGGAACTTGCAATTCTCTCTGCTAAATTTCATTTTGCTATTTTCAGATTTTTTTTTAGTTTGTTAAAGTTAATTTGAATTTATCCCAAGCTTAAGCTCAGCTATTCACTCAATTTTGTGTCTTCTACATATCAGATAAGCTTACTTCCATTTTTTCATCCACAAAATAACACACAGAGGCATTTATGAATTCCAGTGATTATAAGCAGAGGTGGGCTGCTGGCAGTTTGGACCGGTTCAAGCGAACCAGTAGTTCCGACCAACGGCTGGGCCTGCCCACCCAGCCCAACACTATCCCATCTTATATAATTGTTGTATGTTTGGTGCCATGCACATGCTTGCGCACTCAGCTATTCGCGTTCTACAGTTTGGAAAACAACAGATAGTCAGTTACCTGACTCATTCAGCACAGGTGAATGCTGGTTCAGCCACTGTAGCAAGCAGTCAGAATCAGGTAAAGGGATGTGATTAGTGGAATATGCATGACTCTTCAAGAAGAAGTCTTTTGCAGGGTTAGTTAACAATGAGCAAAACCTGGAACTCTGGATGTATCAGAGCATGCTTTAAAACTGCTTGTTTTGTTTGAAAGAACTCTCCATTATCAGACCTGCATTCCTCTGGTTCCTTTTTCCTGATTTCTTCTGACCTCTTGCCTTGCAAATGGATCTTCAACTTATAACCCCTAGATTGGATATCATAAATGCCTCTGGCTCTAAGACTACAATGGGCATGCTCATTTTGAAATGAAACTTCATGTACAGTAAGAGTTATAGATGTGATATTCTTTCTCTGCATATCTTTTGCTATTTAATTTACGATCTCTCATATTGTTTGCTAACTGATTGAAGTTTGAACTAATAAAATGAGTGGAAATGTGTTAATGCTTCCTGCTTGTTTGGTTGGGCTGTAAAAGTATCACTCTTCAAAATAAACAAAAATGTGTTGCTAGGTGAAAGCATTTACATGAATTACCTTAGAGAAGCTCCAACAGAAACAAAAGTAGCTATGTACCCTTAAATACTATGATAAGGCTTGAGAGGGAAAATATATGTGGATTGTAGATGTGAATTTGTATATGCAAACCTATTTAATATAAGGGCAGAAAGTTAAATTGCACATTGTAATGCATTGTAATATTTGTGTGAAAGCTGGACATTGTTATTAAACAGTAATTATCAAACTCGTAATAAGCAACTGTAGGGTTATGTTGCTATTCGCAAGAAACGGCAACTGGAAAGCATCAAGATAAACTCTGAAGCTTTGGAAAAGTTTGCCACACTGTGCACACTGTGAATTTTTGGATTAAAATGAAATGGTGTTTCTGTAGGATGACTCCCATCCCCGAACAGCTACTTACTTAAATGCATGAGAAGATGGTATGTTTTCCTGATAAGTTTCCAGATCCATAATGCCAAGACTGCTAGAAGTACTGCTGTTGCCATTGCTGACAATGCAAAAATGTTAATATTAATGCTAGTCTGCCCCAATACGTACTTGAACACAATGTTAACCCAAAGTGACAGGCAGAACTGCTACTTTTCTATTTGTCAGAATGAGGGCATGTAGTTCTTCTTTGCTCAGCAAACCATTATTAACAGAGCGAAAAACAAGGGAAGAAAGTAAAGTAAACTCTTACAGTAGGTATATATCTAGTGATATTAAGTACTACTAAAGAAAGAAAGAAATCTGAAGTATGCATTTTGAAATGAAATGTGTTTTCAGCCCAGAAAAGCAAATTATCCTTTTTATAAGGTGATTTATGCCTGCATATGAACCAATTGATATTAGCAGCAAATGTGTGAGATGTATCATTAAAAAGGTATTGCTTTGAAGTGCTGACAGGCGATATGAACACTTGATGATATTGGGTCAATGATGATTGGTTTATATATGTTCTAATTATCAGCTGATCTTGCAATGATGAAGTATTTAGTAAGTTTACATTCATATCTACTTTAAGTCTAATCACATTGTAATCCCTTTGAATATCTTTCCAAAAACTCAGAAACTTCTTATAAAATAAGAAGCATCACCATTTGGCCGCATGACATATCAATCTGTAGCTCCAAATACTTGATTGCTTTGGCAACACTGAGCCACATAATGTGAAAAACTGAAAACAATATGAGCCCCTTAATAGAAATTATCAATCGTGTTGGACAAATGATCCAAGAGTGCAATGGCAAATTATTTTTATGAAGAGAACAGTTAAAACAGTTGTGAATGTATCTACTTTGCTTGGTATTTGTGTCAGCACAGGGTTAGATGTAAGCATTTAGGAAATGTGAATGAGCCATAGAATGAAATATCTGTAAAAGGAATAGATTGTCCAAGTTATTTTTTCCCTTATAGACTGGCCATTCAGGCCTAATAAAGCTAAATAGATCTACACATATCCTGAAACTTTGTTCTTGATACCCACAGTCATGTAATAAGACTGACGTGCTTGACAGCAAAAAGGTGCCGTAAATAGTCATTTGTCCTCCAGACCTTTCTACTCAGATTTCTATGAGGTGAATGAGAACTTGGTACAGGAAAGCAATGTGTTAGTCACCCAAATAATATGTGTCAACAATATGGAATGAAAAAAAAGAGCTTGATTGACCAATTAGCTTGTCCCTTAGTGTTTTTCTTATGGGAATGGCAAACGATTGCTTTGGGTGGAATTACAATCTATTTTATTTATTTATTTGCATTGTTTCCAAAGCTATAATGAGGTCTCCTGGAACTCAGTACAAAACCTAAACCTCTTTCTGCAGAATTCATTTTGAGAAAACCACAAGCCAAACATTAATGCAGTTTATAGCTTGAAGAGCACAAGGTTACCTCATAGATCTCTCGCTGAGTTGCAAATAGCTGCTTGTATCATCAGGATTGTTTGCCAGCTGGCACCAGCTGCTACATGTGCTTTCTTCACTGCTGCTAAGAGGGACTGGAAACTCTTCCACTGCTGTATTGTCCACAGAGGCTTCAGATTCAGGGCAACTACTCACTGCCAAACTGATTGATAAAAGAAAAGATGTTCCTGATGAAACAAGAATTATTTCTTACAACTGAAATAATTCCAACTGTCAACACGCTTGTAGCAGTCATGGAATCATCAGACCTTAATGCAATTTATGCTGCCTTTTTAAAAGATGCATCTGTTACCATATATTTTATGAGAAAAACAAATGGTATTCTCTCTTGTAAGGATTGAAGACTGCAGTTGGTACCACCATACCTCCTATAATTTCATTCCCTTCTGCTTCCTGACAAATCAGTTGCCTTTTCCATCTTTGTGGAGCAAAATTAAAGTACAGTTTGCTTCAAAGACAGGGAAAATGGGAGAAAGAACAGCAGATTAGGAACAGAATATAATTAAGAGTTTTAAGCAATGTGACCTTTCTTGCTAGGTCAATACCTGTCCACGATTGTAATAAATTCATCTCTTTATCCACTTTCTGATATGAGGAGAGCGGTGATCAGACAATGGGACTATTCAGTGGCAATGCCCATTTCCGAAAATTCTCTTTATGGATGCTTTCCTGGGTGTTTATTTGGATTAATTTTAAGTACCATGCTAGTTCTCATTTGTTAAGGCATTAGTAAAGCTGTTCATCTCTTTTAGGTTAAATCTGTATTTTATAGGTGCTATTTATGATTTTTGGATTCATTAGTAACTCCTGACAGTTTTGCTTGCTCTCCTTGGTTTTAATGTTGTTCATAAAATATAAAAGAAAGTTATATATAAATATTTTACTTAATTTAAAAACATTTCCTTAAAGGAATAATCTCAGGCATAGTCCTGGCAATTCTCGCAATTTTTCCCTCTTCCATGAAAACATACAAATATTTCAGCTAAGGGCCTTATTGTGTAAGTTGGTAAGACCAATGACAATAATTGGGAAAGACATAGTTTTTGGCGTGATAATATATTTCTTCATGATTGAAACAACTTGAACCTTCTAGCTCAGTTATCTGTATATTTGGGAAGCTTCAATATGTAGTATTTAAAAAAGTATCCCACATAAAAGTAAAATGAAGTCATCCTCAAAGTATTTTTCTTATCGCGTGGTTTGCAAAAAGTTCTATACTGCAATCTAATTTTAATGGGAAAAATCATTTTGTAGCTGCCATTGCTAAATGGCTAAGAAACAGAAATCCTTTATAATGTACAACAAATGCCCCAATCTATAAGTAGATCCTAAATTGCATCTGCATACCTCTGCTATTCAAACAGATTCCACATAAATACCATGTAGCAAAGATGATGTTTGTGCAGCAGAATTGCTGCTAGAAAAAGCAGTGCTCTATAATCTGCTTTTGATTTCTCTGACCTTCTAACTCACCTATACTTTTCCCCCACCAATGCCCTCCTTTCTGCCCGATTCCTCAAGATTTTCCTTTTGCTCTTTATGCAAGAAGACAGGCACTGGCAGCAATGAAACAAGAGGGAAAGGACACAGGAAAATGACATATCCAGGAAAGACATGAGGAGTGACATTGTGCACTTGCTGCTGTGTTTGGAACAGGAGGGGAAAGGAGAAAAAGAAGACTGACTTGAGACAAATCACTGTGCTTTTCATCTTTGTGGCACCAGTATTAGATTGAAAAAAGTAAAAATGCTCCATTATTAATAAGTAGTCCTTGACTTACGATCACAATTGAGCCCAAAATTTCCATTGCTAGGCGAGATTAAGTGAGATGCACCCTATTGCGCCATCTTTTCTGTCAGTCTTAAGCAAATCACTGCAGTTATATGAATCATGCGGGCGTTAAGTGAATTTGGCTTGCCCCATTGACCTGGCTTGTTGGAAGCTGGCTGAGAAGGTTACAAATGGTAACCTTCAGGTTGTAAATGGTAACGTAATCATATGACCCCAGGACACTGCAACTGTAGAAATACATGCCAGTTGCCAAATGCCCAAATTTTGATCACATGACCACAGTGCAATGGTTGTAAGTGTGAAAAACAGTTGTAACTATTTTGTTCAGTGTCATTGTAAGTTCAAACTATCACTAAACAAATGGTGGTAAGTTGAGGACTACCTCTACTAAGATTTGAGTGTGCAGCAGCATGTGCTCTGGTATCCATGCTCAACAATTGACAAGCTAGCTCAGGGGTGTCAAACTCGCAGTGTCATGACATCGTCACGTGACATATTACGACTTTTCCCCCCTTGGCTAAACCGGGCATGACCAGTGTGTGACTTATCCAGCCCATGGGGTGTGAGTTTGACATTCCTGAGCTAGCTAATAATCAGGTAGCCACCAAGAAACCAAAGTGTTTCATTTAAAAAAAAATCTTCATCCTGTTTCTTGGCTTTTCTCCTCTATTTTCATCCTTTCTTTTGAACTGACTTCCTTCTCTTTGCCTGATTTCTAAGCTATCCAAGTTATTAGTTATGTTCTTCTTCTGTCCCTTCATATATCCCCTTTCTTGTTCTTCATACTTCATCGTAGGGTTAATTTTTTAGGTTTTTTTATCCTGCTTTCTCTTTCCAAACTCAGGATTGCTGGTTTGGTCGATGATGAACTAGGCTGCCTACAATTCCCCAACATACGGTATCTGCATGCAATATTCTCAGTTGCCATTGTGATAATTATAGAATTGATAGTGAGTTGCTTTGCCCTTTTTAAAAATGCCTTTGTTATGGCTAAGAAGGAATGTATGATGATGATTTGTGTGTATCTGTGTAGGTAAGAGTTGTAAGTGTATGAAAGAGCAAATCATGAGGGGTGATTTCAAATCTATTAAAATATTGAATTATGTACTGTAAATATACTACATTTTCAATTGCTTGTTTTTTTAACCCAATCACCGGAGATGGATTGTTCCCGATTCGGCTTGGATCGGGTGAACTGGTAGTAGTGGCAGCAGGGGCTCCGCCCACCTGTCCGGATGCTTCTGGGCATGCATAGGAGCATTGCGCACACACAAGTGTGCCCGAACCGGTAGTAAAAATTTTTGCAAACCACCACTGCCACTCACTCACTACTCTACCTGCTATCTTGGAGCATGGCCCAAACACACTCTGGGCTTAATCGAGGTTGAAAAAATGGCAATGCTGTTTCTTTACCTCTCTTGTTTTCCTGCTAGTGCACTACCAGTTTCTCTGCCTTAGAGCCTTACATTCTTCTTTTGGGAAATGAAACTTACCCATGGCTTTTTGAGGAAATTAGCTGTTGTCCTGAATCAGCATCTATGGGTTTCCCTTTGAGTAGATCTTCTCTTGCTTTGCCAGAGGTGACATTAATTCCATTTAAAGGCGCTGAGGCATTATCAAGGTCTTGTCTTTGATCTGTTTCAATCTGAATTAAAGGCACTTCCCTGAGGCAAGAAGAAGAGCTCATGTTTTTTATAGAAAACAATCCAGGGAATGAGGCCTGCTGTTCTTTCTCATCTAAATATCTTCTGTCTCCAAATGGTTTTGAGTAGTTTTGCATCCCTGATGGGATATGGCTGCTTTCTGTGACATGATCTTTCTTTATGGAATCTTGGTGGACGGCAATTAAAGTTTTCCCACTTTCAACAATATTTGCAGCGAGTCTGTGTGCATATTGCTGAACATGTGGTGGATGCTGTTCAGGCTGTGCAACCTCCCCGCTATCTAGAATTATTTTGTTCTTGCACATCAGAGCTTTAATGGAGTTTGCCCAGGTCTCATGAATGAGCATGTCAGTTGCCTGATCAGTCCTACATCTTTGGTAAAGGTAAGAATCTGATTTACAGAGTCCTGAAGAAGATGCTGTGTTGACTGGATAGACATTTAAGGAATCCCGGTGGCCGCTACGAGAAAAGCCATCTAATGAATTTGCCTTAATGGGCATATTTACTGTTAGCCTAGATACTGAAGATCTGTTGTCAGGGACTGAAGATTGTCTGAAACAAAAAGATGATCGTTGAGAGGGAAGTAATAAGCTGCTGCTCCATTCCTTTGCATTCTTAGCAGAATATACTTTTTCTTTATGTTCTTTGTCAATTTCCTTTAACATGTACCTATAAAACTCTTCAGTTATGCTTTCGGTGCTTGACTGTTTGGATGGGCAACTTGGCTTTACATTGAGGTGGCCATTCTTTTTGGTGACTTGTTGCAGTGCAGATGTTATAATATTATTGGCATTTTTTCCAGCATAGTAGTCCAGTAGTAAATCAAACTCTCGGCCTTCAGTTTCCATCTGGTTGACCATAAACCTTGAAAACTCATCGGTAATGCTTTCACAACTAGACTGCTTGGAGACTGAACTAGTCCTGCTTATTGGCTGTCCTAAAATATTTATGAGAGCCAAAGTATTTACAGATCCTTTAGAATCCAAGTCCTCTTCAGGAATACTTTCACAACTGGATGCATTGACTCTATTCCATCGGTCACAATGGAGCCTATTTTGAGGATGGCTTGGATTCTGCCATACATTATCAGCCACAGAAAACTCGGCTAAGTTCATAATTTTGGCAGCTGCTTCATTTGCAAAGTTATTGCTCAAATCAAGTGTGTCATCAAGGTTAATTGAGTCATCCACTACCCTATTCATAAGCCATTCTTTTAATTCAGGATGCTCATCGGTTTTTCTTTTGATCTCACTGAGTCTAGGTGGCCGATGTTTTCTCACAGAGGATCCGCTGGTTTGGGTTTCCTTTTTCCTTTTCATAGGTCGACATGGCAGAGCCTGGGGCATCAAATAATCACTTCCTCTTTGCCATGCACAGAACCAAGGCTGCTTGCCATTTGAATTATCAAGGCAAATGGCAGCAATTTCTGTTGCCATGGAAACCACTGTTTCTGCCAATTCTTCTGCAAAGTCTGTTATGCAGTATTTCTCTGCTGGATGCATCAAATATACCAGAGGTCGGGTAGGCAGAATACCTTGATTACCCAAGAATGGTACACTAAGCTGTCTGTCATTGTGCCATGCAGCATCACATATGGGCTCCTCATGATTTTCTGTTATTATGGAGACACTGGAAGTTAGAAATTCTTGAAGGCCATGTATGCCTTCACTGCCTAATGTCTGGTTTTCTCTGCCACTAAATGGAGAGAGTTCTGTCTTCATGTGATTGCTATTTAGATTTATGGGCCTGTAGCATTCTTTTGTAATTCTTTTCAAATATCTTTTCTTGGAAGATGTTTTTCTGGAGGGTGAACTCAGAGCGTTGACTGTAGATAGAGATTCCAAGGCATTTGGCATAATTTCCTCTTTGACAGTATTTGCCACATTTGTCATTAATAGACCATCCGTGTCATGGAAATTACTGGTGAGCTTATTATTGTAGCAGCTTGAGGACTGATGCAATACATCATTTTTTGTCTCTTTTGGTTGGCAGTCCATTACCTGTTTGCTAAACGTATCTGGAATGAAAGTATTTGAGCATTCATTAAGCTGTGTAATGTCATTCATTTTCTTGCAAGTGAAGTAAAATACATTAAAGAGAAGCTGATTTGCAGTTGCAGTAAAAACATCTTGTGTGCTTTCGAAACCTGCATCTATGTTCTTTTCTGAGCATTGTTTCTTTCTAACTTCCTCCACAGAATGCCTGAGAATAATATTGGATAAATTCTGGGCAAGTTCATCAACAATGACTTCATCCAGGAGGCCGGTAGAGGGCTTTGTTGCAGCCTGAATTATTTTTCCATTTACAGACTCCATAAATTCTCCCATAGTTCTGTATGCATGAGGTCTGGTTAATACTAGAGATGCCTCTTTGAACAAGACTTGTGCAATGCTATTGTTCAGATTCTCCATTGTGCTTCCAATGGCTATGCTACAATGGAGTGTAAAAGCTGCTGATGTCTCAGCTGCAGATAAGAGTCCACTTGAAGTTACAGGATACATATCTTTTTTTTCACCAAGTCCATGAACAGCAACTACATTTGCCATCTGAACCATGTCTGAAAGGTCATGTAGAAATGAGTAACTTACAGAGTTACAATTACTGTTGGTACTTGGGGAAGTATTTTTCTCCACTTCACAATTACTCACAATCATTGCAGAGCTCAGGGATTCCTGTTCTCTGAGCTTTTCTGCAGCATGTGGACTTGATATGGTACCAATGACAGTAGCTGCACAAGCCAAAGCTATCTCCAAAGGACTCTGAATACTTTTATTGGGACTATTGTTTTCAAAAAAATCTGCATCAGAAGAATGTTCAACTTCAGACCAAGGATGTAAGCTTGGAAAGTTAGATCCAGGCCACTCAGACTTATCAGAACCATCTGGGCTCTGAACAATAACGATTTTTGGAAGTGCATTCCATGAACGACAAGCCATTTCATTCTGTGTTGCATGTGCTGTTGAAGGGTTGCTGACCGAGATGCTGAGAGCACTTTCTTTGGTACAAGTTGACTGAGACAATCTAATGAATGCATCTTGCAGGACAGACTCTGCCAAATTTGTAGCAAACTGACCTGTAGGAGCCTGATCATTTTGAATGAGAGGATGAGGTGTTCTTTCAACTTTACAGTTTAACGTGTCCAAATGACTTTTTTGTCCTGCAGCTAGATCATCCAATAAAATAACATCCTCTTTAGTTGCTATGGTCAAACATACATTTTCTGATTTGTTGTTATTACTTTTGCAAAAGTCCTTCTGAGCATCAGTGCTGGAGAATGGCTTACATTTCCCAGTTGTATTATACTTTCCAACTTTCCAATTAAGCTGCTTAATGGCTTCATCGACAGTTTCTACAACATTGTCTTCAGCGTCACTATTATATTCTTCTTCAGATGACTCTGAAGATCTAGTAGAAGCCGTGCTATCATGGCTAATGCAGCTACCTTTCAGGAAAAAGGGCACTTGGGCCTTTTTGCAGTGCAAGTCTTCACAATCTCCTTCACTGTGCTTTTTGAATTCAGCTGCAAGATGCATATTTTCCTCACCTGGAAAAGAAAAACAAAACATTAACCTGCAAAAGCAGTATGACTACTATGTTTCTTTTAAAATACAACAGGGTCTTATTTTCTTTTGACCCCCGAAAAAATGGCTAGGTTTTTGAGAGGTGTTCTAATTTTTCTCCCACACATCTTACTTGGCCGACGGGCCACTTCTTTTGTGGACTGGCCGTGCATGTGCTTAAAAAAGGCCAAATTTTGGGGATAGAGCTTAATTTTAATGCATGCGCACAAAACAGTGCTGAGCCTTCTTTTTGGGATGGATCCTGTTTTAAAAGAAACACAGTAGTGGCATTTCCAAGTCTGATGAAAAGGAGAGAAAATCATGCTGTAGAATTACCAAATATCTCTCTCATAGATGATATTTTGAATGATATTTAATGACATGCAGGTTATTAAAAATCTCCTTCCATGTTACATAAAAATAAACCAGCAGTCAGGCAATATGCTCAGACTAGCAGTTAATAGATAGCAGTGAAGACCATCTGAAGACAGTCAGATACCATGACATGACATGTCCATACCTATGAAAGTTCAGAATTGCTCTCTGAAGCTAAAGTTGGATTTAAAAAAAAACAGGATAGAAAGAGTATCGACACTTTAGAACTTTAGTGTTAGAGAAGATTCTTGAGATGGATAGTCAAGAAAACAGAGGAATGAATCATAGAACAAATCAATCCAGAATTCTCACTCAAGGCACAAATTACCAGATTCAAATGGCCATATCCTGGGCACTTATGTGAAGACTCTAATTTTGCCTCTCTGCCTTCTAATTTTGAGAAAGGTGATAGCAAGAAGAGAGTGATCAGGAGCAAGGAGAGCACTCAAATACAGCATTCATAGTTGCACCATTGAAGGGTCTAAAAAAGTAGGAGGGATAGATAATCCTGAAGAAAGCCTATCTACGCTAAAAATGGATATCAGCTTGATTGCACATTCAATCATCTGCTCCTAAGTAACACAGATGGCTATGAATCTGCACTCAAACCTCCAGATTTTACCCTGTTTATATTCATCATCTTCATCTTCAAAGTGTTCTGATGCTGTGAGAAAATCTTCTTCTATTGAAGATACCGAGCAGTTCGTATCATCTTCTAGCTTCAAGCTAGAGGACTCTATATGCAGCTGCTTTTCCTGTACGAGCTCCAGGCCAATCAGAAACTTGTTTATTTCAAAGATGATGCAGCTTGTGTTCTTCCTTTGGTTTCCTCTTGCACACTGAAGAAGACATATATCTGCCAGCCAAGAACACTAGGGGAGGGAAGAGGAAGAAGGAAACAACACACAGAGCTTGGGCAGATATGAAATAAAAATAAGGCATATTTTATTCAATTTTTTTCACATTCCCAAGCCATTTGTTGGGTAAAAATATCACATTCATAAAATTTATAAAATGATGTATATTCTGCTTGAAAAGCTATAATCCTAAACTGAGGAGTATGCTTGACTGAACAAAGGCATCACATACAGTAAATAGCCAATATGCTCAGGTTATATATGTTTGCATGACTTTGTTAAACTTGATGTCAGATTCTGTTCTTCAGATTCATTTTGTCTTTCAAGGTCAAAAGATATTATGTAATTTGAAAGAGAACAGCTCAAATACATCTGCCCAGAATGATTCTAAGTATAATTAGCTCTGATACAGTCCCAGAATAATAACAGACCCATTTAGTTCTCATCCAATTAAATCAGTCTCTTTTGATAGTACATACATGGATGCCAATGGATTAGAGCCTGTGATTATAAATATTCTGAAAATGCTTACTGTGGATTAGTTTAAACACTTAAAGAAATGCAGACAGTGCATGGTCTGGAGACATTAACATGGCTACAAAATGGCTATTTATTTTCTGCAGGTGAGTCGTGATACCCGGTATTTGTCCTTATAGTTATAATTAGGTTGAATTTAATGTTTTATTTCATGAAAAGAAACTTGCACTCACAATGGAATCTCTTCTGGTCATGAAAAGATATTTTATGTGAGAACAAATCTCATTCCATGAAGGTACGCTCCTTCCATTCATAAAATTAAAAAAATTAATATGGTCTGTTTTATTAAAAATTGACTAGATAAAAATTATTGAAGTATGTAGATTCCAGGGGTGGGTTCCTGCCAGTTCTAACCTCTTCTATAGAAGAGGTTCCACAAATCTATAGTGCCATTTAGAACCGGTTCCAGCTCACTCCCCTCGCCCGTCCGCACATCATCAAGACGAAGAGCGAATATATAGTGGCTTCATGTAATCCAGCACCTCCAGATGGATTTTTGAGTATTAGGATCACAATATTGTAGTGCAGACCTATACAAAATGATTTTCTGTGTTCCATTCAAGGGAATTTCATGTAATTTAAATCCCAAGGGAGTGGTTTGATTAAACTGAACAGCTATTGATCTTCGTCTTGATGATGTGCGGACGGGCGAGGGGACCGTGCTGGAACCGGTTCTAAATGGCACTATAGATTTGTGGAACCTCTTCTATAGAAGAGGT